GTTTGAACTTAAAAAAGCATTGGTAAGTGAAATAAAATATAAAAAAAACATTTACTTTTGTATCCATTCCTCGAAAAAAAGAATCTAAGTTCTATTTCTTATGTGGCCGAACTTATGTGTTTTTAAAATCCGGTAGGAGTCTCTAAACCCAAAGAGTTATAGTTTATCACAGTTGGATTCTTGTGACAAGAAGGTCATAAAATATTAGTTTTATTTATCGATTTACGAAATACTTTATTGAATAGGTACTAGATAAATAACATCTTTTAAGTAGATCGAAGTAAATGCTATCCAAGGCAGTGGAAAATGAAAAATAAACAACATCTATCTTCGGTTACCTTGACTTAAATCATTGCTCCAAAAGAGGATATAATAAATTTATGACATATGGATGACAACAAATCATGCAAGAAAATTTTGTAAAAACTGAAACTCTTTCTAAGCTTTTAGAAGTCTGAGCTTTACTTTCTTTAACTCTTTCACTGCCTTATATTTTACCTTCTATAATAGTAGTGCAGTGCAGTTTGGAATTTTCCACAACAATAAAAGAAGGGTGTACTCATCCAAACTTCAAAAAAATCAACAATTTCTTTTTTGTATTTTTATTATGTATCTAAATATAAAGCTGATAAAGGTTGATAAAGGCATTTAAAGAAAAGGGCCATAATTTAATTGTGTCATAGATATTGCCGAGAATTAATTGTGGGGATAAATTATAAGTATAGGCTTAGGTTAATATGTAAGGATGAGCAGATTGTCTGATTGGACGTGAGACCAGTTTAATAGGAGCATGAATCTTTTGGAATGGATGGTTTACATTTAAATATGATAGGGGCTGGCTTGTTTGCAATTGTTATTAACTCAGCTGTAAGGGAAGTATTAAACTAGGACTAGACAGTGATGAGGGCCAGAAGTATAAGAAATACAATAGATTACTTAAAAGCATTGGTAGGAATGGTGAATTTTGATGTGATAGTAAAAACTGAAACATGGTTAAATGTAGACGATTTTGATGACAGAACTTTCTTTGAAATACAGGGTTATAGGTTATCTAATATGGATAGAGTACTAAAGAGAGGGGGAGGAGTGGTTTTATATGTAAAATGTGAGTTACATCCTGTTAAACTTGAAGATATCAAAGATAATAGCAAGGAGATTGAATCCATTTGGATTTCTATTAGCAGGTATAAAGGAATAAGGCTATTAGTGGGAACTTGTTACTTTAGAGTCAGAAAACTAGAAACTTTAGAGTCAGATTAATATTTCAACTGTTAATAAGGTTACAATTTTATTGTATAGGTCACTGGTTAGACTACGTTTGAAGTATTATATTTAGTCTTGGGCTCCTTACCTTAGGAAAGACATTGAATTGTTGGAAAGGATTCAGAAAAGAGTTACTAGAATGGGGCTTCGGATGGAATGGTTCTCATATGAGAAGATGTTAAAATCTCTGAAATTGTTTTATCTTAAAAGAATAAGAGTTAAAGGGGACATGATTGAACATTTTTAAGATTGGTAAAGGAATTGATAGTGTTGATGCATCATCTTTTTCATACTTAATGGCGAGAATGGTAGTACTAGGGGACATAAATATAAATATTTGCAGGGTAGGAGTCATTTTCAGCTAAGACCATTTTATTTTTCTAAGAGGGTGGTTAGCTTTTGAAAAGGGTTGCCTTCGGATGTTGTGGAGGCAATAAATTTAAGTGAGTTTAAGAGAAAGCTTGATAACTATATGCATGATAAGGGCGTTGAGAGTTTTTTTAAAATATAGTTTTAGTTAGGTTTGGAGAATGGGACAACCTTGATGGACCAATATGTCCCTTGCTGACCCTAAACATTATGTTATGTTAAATAATAATATTTAATCCTAGCTTTGTAACATTTACATTTGGTACCAAACCTGACTACGACAGAAATGCAACTTTTTTGTTTTACCTTATCAGTTAAATGGCTGCTTTTTTTACATCAACATTGGTTTATCATTATTATCAAGCAGTTATTCGTAGTGTTGAAACTTGACAAAAGTTTTCTTATACGCAAATCATTACAATACAAATCATTAATTGATGACGTGAATCTTTTGTTCTTATAACTCACACTAATGCTAATTAATCAGAATAGGCTAAGTATTTTCTTGGTTGTTACTATCTTATAATGACTATGTGATGATCATTGTCATTAAATGATTATGGTTTCTCAAGCAACGTGATATTTTCTTCAGATTTTCAGTTTGTTTTCTTTCTTTCACTTTGTAAAATATTTAAAACCGCATTATTATCCAAACAACTATTTTTGCTTAGAATTCCCGAATCACGTTAATGCAACTTTAAACTTTTACGGAATGTTAATGTCTCCTATAGTTTCCCTATTGCTTGTTTTAGTAACAAAATATACAGGCTGAAAGTTCTTTCTTTAAGTTTTGTAATCACAAACATTTTTTTTTCAAACGTGAACATTATATATATATATATATAACAAATCCCAGGCTGTTTGTAGAATTTCTCCAGCTTCATCTTCAACACCAGATATGATAGGCGTAAATCTAAACTATGAAAGTTCTTCGTGGTTCAGATGTTCCATTGGTTTATCTTAATGACTATATTTATTTTTACCCCAAACTAACGGCAGGAATATTGTTTTCACTCCTCTGTGTGTTCGTGAACAGAATAACTTGAAAGATTTTCATCTGATTTTGATCAAAGTTGATAAAAAAAAAAAGTTGACTGTCCCCTAATTACTAACTGATTAAATTTTGCTGTGAATGTAGTTCGAAGGTCAAGGTCACATTGAAGGTCAACCTATTTCGCTTTAATGATAGTATATTCAAATTTTGAAGAAAAAAAAAGTCAAATCTCGAATACAAATGGGGATGAAGAGAGGATCTTGGCGCATAAAGTCCATTTTTGAAAGTGAAGAATTATTTGGCGTATAATTTAAGCTGTTTCCTTCAAATGTTATGACATTGTGGGGCGAGGTTTTTACTCTCCGACTGCCCCATTTTACAATTTATCTTTCTTAATAACAATTTTCCTGTTTCTATCTTCACATTTATTAATCATTCCATCCATTATGATGAATAAATAGAACTCTCACAAAACCTATTAAACGAATTACTTGACTAAATCATATCATTTGCATGCCATAGTTTATGACATTATTGATCTGATTTTATTTTGGTACTAGTGACACTGATATGTATAGAAGTGTAACACCAATAACTCGCTCTTCTTCTATGATTACTAAAAGTTTCTATTTTTAAAGTGTTGCAAGTAACCTGATTTTTACAATATCATTTTGGCGTTTGAAACGCATGCCTTTTTACCTTTAAACAATAATGTGTTGGCTCATAAATATACAACTTTATTTCAAAATAATTCTGTTTTTGATTAGAAAATATTCAGCTCTTATTTCACATCAGAGTTACTGGCATCATCAATGTTCAACGATGTTTCAAAAGTGTCATGATGACGTCACAAACATGTAGATTTTAAAAATGTACAATTATATTTATTTTGCAATATAAAGTTTACATTATGACAATATATTCCTGATGTTTCCTACCTTTGAAGCACATTTCTTATGTCGCAAGCATACAAACTGTTTTCACTGCATCATGCTGACGTCATGAATGTCTAACTTTTCTTTTCATTCTGAAAGAAAAAGTAGTGCAAAGGATCACCAAATTTTTAAAAGGATACTAAAAACCACCCAATAGCGACGCTTTGAAAGAGTAGGCTGTTCTTCTTCGGATAAAGAAAGGCCAAAGTCGGAAGTGTGTGATATCTATATATATATAAGCGCGATTGTCTCTCTCTCTCTCTCTCTGTAGGTCTGGTTCTTATTCTCCGCCACATCTTTATAGCTACAAACTCCAAACTCGGGGTACAGATACAACTTTGTGCGGGAAGTAACATGAGCTACGTGGCCGCAGCCTCAGAGACCGTTTTTAGGTCGCAAATTGAAGCCAAAGTGTCTAATACAGCACAGAACGACCAATTGGTCTCATATTGGAAAGGCCGGATTTTTTGGCTAATGTGTGATTAAGATGGCTAATATTTACGTTTTTTCTGTGTGAGGACTTCTCCTAATCCTTATATCCATGATTAATTATGTGTTAAATGATTTAAAAACTTCGTGTAGCCTTCATTTGCTTCTCTGCTCATTCTACCTTTTCTCTCTCTCCGCCCTTTCCTTCCCTCTCTCTTTCTTCTACTCGTACATGCCTACTCTCTAACTCCTCTTAATTGAAAAAGGCTGGTGCTTTCTCTCGAACATACACGCATACTCTCTCAACTAAATAGGCTTGCTTCAGCCATATCTTTTGCTTTTCTTGCGTGTACTCGCAAGGCTCAGCTATATGATGACTTTACATAAACGTTTGGTATGGGCAGATTTTCATTTATGTTGTGTTGCAACGAGAATAAATCAATTCTTCGTTAAATGGAACGATAATAAAGTCAGAATACGCTGCAAACGACACTTGACCACACAGCAGAAATCAGGACACCAAAAGGTAGGGAACTTTATTTTGGAAACTTTAAATGTCATGCAAACCACAAGCAAGTAGCAGGAGCAATGTACCCAGTTTTGCTTTAATTAAAACAGCTTTAGCAGATTTTTGTTTTTCTCACACATTGTTATTTTTATTGATTTTAATCAAAATAATTAGTTAAGTAAAGAAATCATTTTGAACTTTTTTGGAAAAAATAACTATTAATATTGTTGATTTAATCAAAACAACTCAGGATATTTAAAGCCATTTCCATCCGAGCAACGCGGGGTACTCTGCCACTTGTTTATAAGGAAAAGAAACATGGGTAGAAAATCTTTGTCGGCGTGACTGTTAAAAAACAAGTTCCTGGGTTGTTTAAAACGTTTCTTTTGGTTTGGTATAGATGTCGCTTATCAAATGGTCGTGTTCTCATTATGTTCTTTTAATCCTAGGTGAGCTTCTTTTCGACGAGCCCTGAGCTAAGTAACAAACAAAGGTTCGAGTACTTCCTCCGAACAGTACCCTCAGATACTAACCAAGCACAGGCTATGGTAGAAATCGTTAAAATCCTCAACTGGACATACGTCTCTATCCTATATGAAGAATCCACCTATGGCATTAAAGTTAGTTTAGCCTCTTGTAATACAAATACATCCTTTTTTGTTGTTCTTGTATGTTTGTGAGGTTCTGTCTCTTAAATATAAATATATATTATTTATTATTGTGGTAATTTAGGTTGATCTGTGCGAATCTAATCGGTAAACATTAGTTACAGTTTCGATACTGTTTGTATGATATGCGAATAATTCAAAATAGTCGATTTTTTCTCAATATGTATAGCTCTTGATTTTGGCCCCCCAGTGGCACAGCGGTATGTCTGCGGACTTACAACGTTAAAAACCGGGTTTCGATACCCGTGGTGGGCACAGCACAGATAGCCCATTGTGTAGCTTTGTGCTTAACTTCAAACAAAACAAACAATCTTGATTTTAAGCAGTAAAACATTTAACTTCGGACCTGACGCGTGACGTTATTTTCGTAAGTTTTTAGAAAAAACGGCAGGTTAACTTAACTATATTAAACTCTCTGATATTTAAAGTAACAACGATTCGTGACTGTTTTGTGATTATTTATGTAAAAGCTGAAAGTTTTTGGCATAAAGCAAAAAATGTCTCTACAGGTTTTCTTTCTATATAATTATGAAATTACATTATATGCTTTTAATGTGATTTTGAAGTATTTTCAATCAAGAAAATGTTTTTCACGAGTCCTTTATAGTCACGTTTGGTTATCTACGTACGCGTGACAGAAAATTTGAGAACATTTTCCGCTTTCATGCAAAAAAAAAGACTACGTATATATAAAGCTGTTTATGTCATGCAACAGAAAAAGTTATAAATTCCTAGTCATCTCCTTTCATACAGAACTAAACAACTTTGAAAGATGAACAAATATAAAATTTTGAATGCCTTGAATGCAATGAAAGCTTATATTTTCACTTCTCAAGCATAGTTATTCATTATATAACAAAATGTGCCCTTGAGAACGCATGTCTTCACATATATATTAATTTCAAATTTTATAAATCACAAGTATTTCATGTGTTTGCATTACGTTTGATTAAAGATAAAAAAAAAAAAAAATTAGCCATCATCGAAACGAATGTGTAACAACAAATCAAAAACTACAAAATATTCAAACGAGGTCAATTGTACGTCATGTAAAGGACATAATTCAACATATGACACATCGTCTTTGTAACTGAAAACAAGAATAAAATGCGTTTGAAACGTCCCCCGGTGGGACAGCGGTAAGTTTACGGACTTACAATACTAAAATTCTGGGTTCAATTCCCCACGGTGGACACAGCAGATAGCCCGTTATGGCTTTGCTAAAACAAAACAAACCTTATAAAAAAAATGCGGACTGAATATTTTCTGCAGTAGTATCCTTAAATAGTTACAAAGAGTATTTTCATTCCTCTAATTGTGTATTATAAGTGCATATACGTGAGATATTAATCGGACTGAAAACGTGGAACAAACGGGTGAGATCCTACTAATAAATATGGCCTGATGGTTAGGGTAGTCGACTGGCAATCTACTTGTCGAAGGATTAAAATCAGGAGCCGAACATGCTCGACCGTGAGAGTGTTAATAAAAAGCGTTAATAATAGTAAATGCTTCTGGCTGGTGGTTAGGGCAGTCAGTTCACAATATGCGAGTCGTGGGATTGAAACTTGACTCCAAACATGCTCGACCTTTCAGCCGTGGCGACGTTAATAAAGAGAAGTCTCAGAATTGAAGGTGACTGCTGCTGACCAGGAGGTCAGAATTTGGGACGGTGGCAGATAGCCTTAGTAGTTTTGCCATAAACAAACAAAGAGAGAGAGAGAGAGAGAATCAACTGTATGCTCAAGTGGTCTGAGTAAGTTTTTTTGTAATTATTTGGTAACTTTATTATGTTCTATTGAGCAAAATCTAACTGTTTTCAGTGTTCTGAAAAGGGTTTTGAAATAAACAGTATACACTATTCGGGAATGAGAATATTGCTTTAAGTACATGAACGGCGTATATTTATTCTCAAGCTCTATAGTTGAAATAAACTAGAAACTTCTTTCAATATAACACAATATATAAAATATAAAAACCTTTCTTTCAAAATACCCAGTAGAAACGCTATAATCAGAAATAGAATTCATTTGGAGATACGCCTATGGCACGAGACATTATGAACAGCCTTGCGTGTGCTATAAAAAGGTCCTATACGTTCGATGTAAAATAACTCTGTAATTTAGACCTTCGTATATGAATATTAAGATTATTGGTTATTAAACGTTTAAGTATTTTTTTATCGAAACTTTCTTTAATAAAAATCGATAAACGTAGCAACGGGCTTAAGAGACTTCCATAATTTGCGTGTTTCAAGAAGGTGGCGTGACGTTTTAATTATTGCAAAAAAAAATTAACAATAATAAATAAGATAATGATATTCAGTAACCAATAACATATATTAAACTGTGCTATAATTACTTGCCGAACATATATTAAACTGTGCTATAATGTAGAGTTTGTCTAACGATCTTGTTCTGTTTTACTTCGTTGTTTTAGTTTCATTAACATTACTTGCCGAACATATATTAAACTGTGCTGTAATGTAGAGTTTGTGTCTAATGATCTTGTTCTGTTTTACTTCGTTGTTTTAGTTTCATTAACGTTACTTACCGAGCATATATTAAACTGTGCTATAATGTAGAGTTTGTCTAACGATCTTGTTCTGTTTTAATTCTTGCCGAACATATATTAAACTGTGCTATAATGTAGAGTTTGTGTCTAACGATCTTGTTCTGTTTTACTTCGTTGTTTTAGTTTCATTAACATTACTTGCCGAACATATATTAAACTGTGCTGTAATGTAGAGTTTGTGTCTAATGATCTTGTTCTGTTTTACTTCGTTGTTTTAGTTTCATTAACATTACTTACCGAGCATATATTAAACTGTGCTGTAATGTAGAGTTTGTGTCTAATGATCTTGTTCTGTTTTACTTCGTTGTTTTAGTTTCATTAACATTACTTACCGAACATATATTAAACTGTGCTGTAATATAGAGTTTGTGAAATGCTTCAGTTCCTCATCCAGTCCTCTAGTGTATTACATATTGTGTGATTCTAAAACAGTCGATAAACGCTGTTATCTACAAAAATTAGAAAAACAAAAATGAGTGCCGTTGTGTTTATAAAGTAAAACCGTTAGATATACTAAGAGCTCCTAGGTTCTGTTTAAAATGACCTAATAAAGGACAATTGATTGGGAACTAAGAATTTTACTTTTTCTTTTAATTTGCTTAGAATATTGTCCTTATGTATACCGTTGACAGTACATAAAAATGACATATTGAGTTTTGTATTTTATTTAACAACATTTACATCATTGTAACTGTCTCAAACCTATGAAGCTGACACCTGCAATGAAAGATGAGGATCTTATTTAATTTTATGCTAATTATCTCTCTCTTACTCGTAAAAAACATTTTACAGGCCTTCAACGTGCTGGAAGAACGCCTGGCTCTGAACAATATTTGCATAGCAGTCAAAGAAAAACTGACAAAAGATTCTGGAGTTGCATCGGAAGGAGTCTACGATAAGATTGTCCGGAAATTACTGTCCAAACAACGAGCTCGAGGTCAGACCTATTCATTTCCTTTGGACTTTAAGTTACTTCTGTGCAGTCTATTTCATTTTTCTTATCTTAAACTAATTCAAATGTTTCAAAATCTCAAACAATATTTACAAACATTAAATAAAGATAAGATATACCTGTTAAAGGTTTCCTGATCTAAGAAGTTAAATTTTAGATATCCAGTACGTAAAAAATCCAAAATATTATCCTTAGTAAAAGTGCCATCTAATATAAGTAGAAAAAAAAATTAATTAATTCAAGTGACTAAGCAACGGTTTTAGTTGTAATTCAATTTTAGCAAGGACTAAATGGTAGATGTTGACTAGCTGCCTTCTCACTGATCTATCAATGTAAAGTAAGTGATGTCTATACGCAGATACTCATTTGTGTAGATTTGTTCGAAAATTCTGAAACTAGCAAAAAACTTTAACAAAAATATCTTAAGCGTAAAAATGTTGGAACCTTCTTAACAGGAGTGAAATAAACAAACAAAAATGTATTTATTTAAAAGAATATTTATTAAATATTTTATTTATTAATAAAATCTCCACATATTTTTCACAATCTTTTCACGTTCTTCCTTTATTAGCAAAGAAAAACAAAACAAACTATTTTGGAATAGCTACAGGACGCAGTAAAATAAAACGTTTATGATATAATTGTTTTGCAATCTATTAGCCTCCCCCTTAGTAGCTTATAACGCTTAAAACGGGTTTTTATACCCTTGATGGGCATAGCCCATATAGACCATTATATATCTTGGTACATAACAACAAACAATTTATTGATATAAAACTTGAATTCTCACGAAGAATAAAGAAAAATTATAAGTAAGATGTTTATTGTCAAACGCAAAACTGCACAATCAGCGCTCTGTCCACCGCATTTTACCGTTGTAAGTCAGTAACGTTACCGCTGATCCACCGGGCAACGAGTTATAAACGCAAGACAAATTTAACACAGAATGAGAAATAAGCGTAATTAATGAACATACATAATTATCCTATGTATATTTGTTATCGGCAAGAGTACAAAGGTTTGTTTCTAAATCGGAAATGAATTATTTGAAACGTGGTTAAAGAAATATGTAACAGAAGACAGTTTTCAAGGGATACGTAAGTTTATATGCTGAAATGTCAGTAAAATCTGACGGTATTTGTAGAGTTTGTTTTTATTATTATATTTTAATTAGTTCATAATTTGACATACAAAGGATTTTTGGAAAGCCAATGTATCTTTTAAATAATTAAAGCGGGTGCATTAGAAGTTTCTTAGTTAAAACTTTGTTCACATATGAATTGAAACACTTCTAATGCATATTCTTAATTTCATTCATGTGAACGCACTCCCGGTTCGTGTCAAGTGTGGGATCAACGTTTTGGGATAATGAATAGTAATCTATGTAAATTTGATATAGCCTACATTGTTCCTCACAAGTGCAAGGCCTTTATTATGTGTATTTCTAGTTAACTTCTTAAATAATTCTGTTTAATGGATGATTCGTTTATATTAAACAATTGTTTTTGAAGATGAGTGATTAAGCCTTTAAATATTTTGAGGAGACAATCTGAACATAAACCTCATGGGCTTAATCGAACGGTTTATATTGATGAATGAAATCCAATTGCTATTACATAAAACACTATAGCACCTCAATACCCCTTAAAATTGATAATGAAACTCACAACCCAAACTTTACAAAGACAATTGAAATTCGTGTTTTGTTTTAATTTTTTGCGCAACGTGTAAATTTTCATTTTCTGAAACTCGTTTTCGGATGGAATGATAATTTTTTTTCTGAAAAGTTTGTAAAATTCGAGACTAGTTTTAGGAAGTGTAAGCTTATATTCATTGACTCTTTAGGACATTTTAGTGCTTATATAGAAGGAATTGAAAGAAAAACTTTTAAAAGACTGTAGTAGCAGTGTGCAGTTTTTAAACCTATAGTATAGTTTCCACCTCAGTAAAATAACATATAGGCACGATCAAGCTTAATGAGTTACGCTCTTTTGCAAGTAAATATGCACACATAAAGTAAGAAATTATAAAACACACACACATTGAACTATTGAGTAAATTTATGCACCTTCTAAATATTTTGATTATTTACAGGTTTACATTTTTATTTTAATATGATTTAATATAATGCTACAGCTATAATATTTCTCTCTTTTTACGCGTGGCCACAAATTATTCCATAAAAACGTAGTTAACATTTAGGGGTTGAACAAAACAACGGAAACTTTTCGCAATTTGAAGTCCAAGTTTTGGTGTTTTAAGAGTGGAGATTTAGCCATATGGTAATTTAACTGTGCATTAAACTATCCTAAATCTCTGATTTTTTCTGTATAGAAATGGTATATTATTGTTTTTCAGAGAAAGACAAAAATGTCAAACTAGCGTCAGTCATAATTTCCATAGAAGTTTCATTGTTGGTGAACTTTCAGACACGAACATCTAAAATAATGAATTTATCTCGAAGAACGGTGTCAAAGGTTATGTAAGTATGGATATTGAAAAATAAAACTAAATCAGGCAAACGTAATAGTAGTCGAAAAACTAAGATGACAGATGGTGATAGACGAGCATTAACTCAAATAGTAAGACGAAAACAAAAACCTACAACGTCAAAGTGCGTACATATCTTAACGTTAGACTACAACAACCAGTCTAAGTCAAAAGTAATCGAAGGGAATTGCAAAGATGGGTTACCATGTTAGGTCTGCCATTCACAAAACTGTAAGAACAACAAAAAATGAAAAGTCAAGTTAAACAGCGTCAAGAACTTTTAAAATTGTATTGAAGATCAATGGATGAATATAGTTTAGTCAGAACTTTTAAAATTGTACTGAAGATCAATGGATGAATATAGTTTGGTCAGAACTTTTAAAATTGTACTGAAGATCAATGGATGAATATAGTTTGGTCAGAACTTTTAAAATTGTACTGAAGATCAATGGATGAATATACTTTAGTCAGAACTTTTAAAATTGTACTGAAGATCAATGGATGAATATAGTTTAGTCAGAACTTTTAAATTGTATTGAAGATCGATG